TGAGTTTAAGCCACCGGGTCCAGGACTTGAACTGCAGTCGAGTACATGGGAGTTCAGTGACATAGCCATCACGCTAACTGCTGGTCCCTTGTTTTACATTTTTTCACTGAACATCATCACAGCATACTAAATGCAATTTCCCAACCAGAATACACTGTAAAGTGGTTTAATCATACATGTTATCACCAACAAATAATTGTCCATTTCTTGTTTCTTATATAAATACATTTTCTCCCGTATTTCTCACCCTCTGCCATTTCCCACCCTCCTTCCACAGTCTCATATCTGCACTTGCTTTCCATTCTTTTATTTTTCTCCCATTTCATTGATTCACAAAATATCTTTTTTTTTAGAGGTTTTTGCTATAGGGTGCGTGCACTCACCAGAAAGGCAGAGACAGAGAGACAAAGAGCAAGAAATCAGCCCCCAGGGGGGATGACCATGCTGCAATTCCTTCTTCATTCTCCTCACAGGATCTTGGGCATGCACGCACATGCACCTGGCGTGAGTTTAAGCCACCATGTCCGTGACTCGAACCATGGTCGACTACATGGGAGTCCAGCGACATAGTCGTTACACCAACTGCTGGTTGAATAGTAGATACATGGACCTGTTGACAACTCAAAAGAAGACAAAAATCCTTAACTCTGGAAAACAAAGTGTAGAAGATCAGTAATGTTTTAATCAAAAGTCATAAAATTCTATCTCACCAGTTCAGACTCATGTACTTTATCTTCTGCTGTAGTCTGATCTTTCTGTTTAAACTCTGGAAGATAATGATCAATTCTGGACTTGTCCCTACCATTAAGCTGTCCATTTTCTTAGTTGTTTTTGAACTCTTATTTCTATGTGTCTTGACTTCTGTTTTCTTGAGATAGCACACCTTCGGAACTTTCTAGAGAACTGGTCTGGTGTTGGTAAGTTATTTCAGCTTTTGTTTATCTGAGAGTGTTCTTGTCTTCTCTTCCCATATGAAGGATAATCTTGCCAAATACAGTATTCTTGGTTGGAATTGTTTTTCACTCAACACTTTGAGTATATTTTCTCATTCTTTCCTTGCTCACATTGTTAACTATGAGAGGTCTGCTGTTAGCCTGTGGGGATATCCTTTGTAGGTAACTTGATGTTTCTCTCTTGCCAATTTTAGTATCTTATATTTGTCTGTGGTTTTAGTCAATCTGGCTGTATGTCTTAGAGAAGATCTTCATGGATTGGATTGATTCTGTTTGGGTCCTTTGTATTTACTGGGTCTGGATCTTTGAATGCCTCTCTAGGTTTGGAAAGTTTTCTTCCAGGATTTCATGTAATAGATTATCAATGCCTTTATTAGTTTCTTCACATTCTGGGATACTGATTATCTGGATGTTTGGACATTTAATGGTATTTAGTATATCTCATATATTATTCTCATTTTTGGGGGTGATTTTCTGTCTTTGTGTTGGATTTTACTAGCCTAGTGATTCTGTCTTCTACATCTGAGATTCAATTTTCTGTATGATCTAGTCTGGTTTTAATATTTTCAAGGGAAATTTTGACTTCCTGTATATAGCTTCATCTCCAGCAGTTCCATTTGATTCTTTTTTATGGTGTGTATTTCCTCTTTCAGCTCTCTCAATAACTTCCACATCTCCTGGAACTTGTTGGCTCTTTTCTTCTGGAGTTGTCTTCCTTCTCTTCCATCTCTGTTAGCTTTGTCACTATGAATATTCTAAATTCTTTATCAGACATTTCTGTGAGTTCTATTTCACTGTCAGAGGATAAAGAGAAGTTATTCTTTTCCCTTGGAGGAGAGGTATTTTCTAGGTTTCTCATATTTCTTCTGTCTCTGTGGTGATTTCTAGTCATCTGATGGGTTATTAGTTTCTTCCTAATTTCTCAAAGTTCAACCTGAGCTATCAGCGGCGCATAGGAGAAGGTTGTCTACACACTCTTTGCTGTTCCATATTTCTACCTTTGTTACTGAGTCCACCATGAGACCTGATATCTAGTACTTTCAGGGAACAAATGAAGACATTTTGCTGAGAACTTACCCTGGTAGAGTTCCCCTCTATCCTCTCTGTCTTTGGCTTTTCACTTTTTTAAATTTTTCTTTTTTTTTTTTAAATTTAAGGTAAAGTATTTTCTTGGTTCTGAAATCCTCCTTTATCTTTTCATTCCTTAATAGCATATTTCCTAGAGTAGAATTTATTTTCATGAAGTCCAGTTTATCCATCTGTTCATTTTTTTCAGTTGTGCATTTGGTGTTGTATCTTCTCTCTTACTGCACCGTATCTTTGCCTTTAAATAAAACCTTATGTGGATATGTTGTTGGAGTCTCACAAGTTTTTCAAAATATCCAATCTTGTGACATCTTTGCAGATGTAGGTACAGATAAGGAATTCAATGTACATAGAAATGTTTATATTGTGTATATATTCTCAGTATATATTGTGTATATATCCCTTATCTCTTGTCAGACAGCCTAGCAAGCAGTGGCATTCTAGTAGCATTGAGTATAATAAGTACAACAAGAGTCTCATTGGGTTAAAGATCGAGGCATTAGCAGGATTGTGTTCCTTACTGAAACCTCTAAGGTAGAATCTGTTTCTTGCTCGTGTGAATTGCTTACATATTTCAGCTCTTTGTGGCTGTAGGACTGAAATGCCTGTTTTCTCCATGGCATTAGCTAAGGATCATCCCTGAAACACATAAGAACTTTTACAGAATATATAAGGAAGAAGTAATACTACCAATTGTACACAAACTTCCAAAAATATAAAGGTTTGAATATTTTCCAACTAATTATATGATGGTAGCATTAACACGAATCATCACACTTCTTTAGAGGAAAATTAGTTGAACACTAGACAAACAACTCTCACCCTTACCATCTCTTTCTCTTTCTACAGAGAGAACATTTCAAGACCTGAGTCAATACCCAACTCTCAACTCTCCATGACTCCTATCATTCTCAGCACTGAGGCCCTGCTTCTCAGCCTGATATTCCAGGCTGAGTCCTGCCCACCTGCTCTCTGGTGCCCACAGACATATATAGACATACACACCCAGGCAGGTGCCACATTCAAGAAAGTGGACATGCCATCTCTGCCTAACCCTTACCCTTTCTTGCTGCATCTTACTGGGTTCTGGAAAGGATTGCTCCATATAATCTTGGGTGTTGGTTCAGGATTATGGGCCCTCAGAATAAGGAAACAGAAAAGCAAGAATTCCCAGCACATCATCATCCTCCGCAAGGGGGATCTGAGAAAAAGAAAGTGCCACATTTAAGGGCTGGAGGAAGTGGGGCAAGTGAAGCAAAATGTTACCTTCATTTTGCCTAAGGGTCTGAGAGGGGCAGAAGCCTGCCTAAGGCCATGGACATTCATTGTAAAACCTGAGAACATTATTCTCCAGTGCCCCTCTTGGTGCAGTTAGGCTGTTGTCATGGAAAACAGGAAAGGCGATCCAACTTTGCCAGAAGTACAACTGAAAGGTCATTACCCAGAAGGCAGTGCTTGAGCATCCACATGACAATGCAGGAAGGAGGTGAGGGTACCCTCTGAGAAGATTCATGTTTTTAGGTGGGACCATAATCCAGATAGATGTTAAGGGCATAGTAGTGAAAAGCCAGAAAAGAGAATAGAATACTCCTTTGTAGGAGTCATGACTCCAACAACTTTGTGCTCTGAGCCTCCACACTTGGCCTCCTTTCTTCAGGTCCCTGGAGGTAGCACCCTGGATCTCATGCATTTTATACCAGGGAGACTAAG